TTTTATTATTCAATATATTTAATAATTATAATTTTTGTTGTTGTTTTTAATTATTTCTTTTTGAACATTTTCTTAAAAATATATATTTTTTGTTATATTTGCTTTTTCTTGTCAATATGTAATATATATATATTTTGTTTTTGTAATTATTAATGTAGGTATATATTTGTTGTCTTATTTTAAATAAAATATTTTATTTTAAAGTAAATAATATGTTTTTTTGTTTGTTGTCGCTTTGTTTTGTTCATATTATTATTAATAATAATAATAAATATAATAACTTGTGGTTTGATTAAAAACCACATATGTTTGTAAGCTTCTCATCTCCATTGAAAATGAAATGAAAGAAGAAACAGAAATGTTTCTTTATTTTGCTAGTTGTCATGGAGCGGGGTCTTAATAAAAAGAAATACTAAACATTAAAATATATTCCGGAAAACCCCATTTTAAAGGAAAACAAGCAATTTCTTGCTGTTGTTGTTCTTGCTATAAAGTAACATTGTTGGTTTTTGCTTGCTAACAGGACACCATTTCCCCCGTTATTTCCACTGTTTCCATCCTGCCAATCGAATAGACAAAACTAAATAAATCAAATATTTTCGAGTCCCTGGTGTCCTGTTACAAGTATGTGTTATCCTCTCGTTTGTTTTTGTTTTTTGCTTAAGAAAACTTCTAACTACTTTCTGTTTTTTGTTTGTTTTGTTATACCTTTGGCTATATGCCTATCTTTCATTTGGTTTGTTTTGTTTTTTTATTTCAATCTGGGAGATTTACTCTGCTTTCATATATTTATTTTATTTATTTTTTTGGTTTTAACTAACTAAAGCTGTTTGATTTTTTTTTTACAATTTTGTTAATATATAATTTGTTGTATTTTTTGGTTTATAATATTTGATTTTTGTTGTGTTATTTTGTTGTATGTCCTTTCTTTTTGTTTTGTCTTTTATTCGTTTGAATTCTTGTTGCAGAAATTTCCATTGTTTTCTCTTAGCTTGCTTGAAAGTATTCTTTAAACAAATTTTGGTTTTCATGAAATTGTTTTTACAAAAAATTGGTGTTTTTCAAACTATTAACATTTTGTTTGTTGTTTGGTTGGTTGGTTGTTTTAGTTGCTCCTTTCACTTTATATTTTTTCTGGTAATTCTTTATAATGATGCATATATTTTACTGTTAATTATTTGGTTCTTTAGTATTATTTAGAGATTGTGTTTTTGTTTTCGTTATTACAAAAAAATATGAGGATATTGAGAATAAAACGAATTAAAAACGCTGTGTTATTGTTTACAAAAATTTGGCAAAATTTCAGGAATCAAGTTAAGATTTTGTTATGTGGGTTATATTTATTCGTTCAATACGACAAACAGTGGTAGTCTATGTTTCATTGTATGTGTGTGAGTATGAGCCACTGTGTGCATGTGTGTGTGACTATATAATTGGGAGATGGAAAATGTTTGTGAAAACATTGTTTTTTTTTTTATTTAGAAACGCCAGCGAAAGAAGTACGAAATATTGAAAAATTAAACAATGCCAATTTATTGAAAATATTTCAGAAGAAACAAAAAAAATAATTTCGGAGTCAAATAACGAAATCTTACATATTTTTTTAATAATACACTATATTTTTAAAATATATTGCCAAATTTAAAATCGATGTGAATATCATGTTTTCTTTCAAATTCTTCAAAAGAAGAACATGGGTAGTGAGTTTGAAATTTACAGAAATAAACTATAATATTAAAATGCCAATTAGGCAGTTTGTGGACTAGTCAGTGGACCTCCGTTAGCAGAATAAAAATGGTGTCCTATAAAACTTTGTGGTATTGATCAAAAACTTATCTGTTCGAACTGAAATACTGTTGTTGGATATGCACTCTTTGTTGTCTTTATAATGTTTATGTTGGCATAAAATGAAAATCAATTTCGATTTATGGAATATATGTGATTGGATAGTCAAACACCCTAAAGTTTTCATATTTTTGTTCCATATTAATTTGTAAAATTGTTCGCAAAAGTTAAAGGGAATAATGAATTACAGTGAATTGTATGTACTAATAAAGCATTGCACATAAACCAAACAATTATTGAAAATAAGCTAAGAAAATAACAATATAAACTTCAATTTAACAACACTTTTTTAAGTTTTTTTTTTTAATTAGCGCAATTAAAGATTTTGATTAAGTTTAAGGGGTTTCGAGGAGTATTGCATTTATAATTACATATAATAATGTATGACTGAACTGATTTATGTAAATATGAACTTGTGTATATACTTAATTCTTTTTTTTTTTTTTGTAAATCATGAATATATATTTTTCAATTATTTTTGTTTTTCTTTCGTATATTTGTATTAATGAATCAGTGTGTGTGTGTGAGTTAATTTTTTATATTTATATTTCATATAATATATATGTATATATATTTTTAATATGTAAATAGTAACATATTTCCCTAACTATTTGCTAAAACCATGTGAAAGGAAATGAAGCATTCAAAATGTAAATAATTTAATTTAGCAAAGGAAAATCAAATTCATAATTTTGAGAAAACTCAATATTCAATAAATTAAAACTTAACTCTTTGTGTCCTCTTTATAATTGTGTTATATAGTTCGGTCTAATTAATTAATCAGGCGAAGGAAAAAATGAGAGAGAGAGAAAGAGATAACAAAGAATAATGGTGGTGGTTACCACAAATGCATAAACTAATTTTTGGAGGTGCCAGAGGGTACTGAGAATAGCGACGAAAATGTGTGCGTCATTTTACTGATAATGGAAGGGCAGTGCCAAGTGAACAACAGAAGCACAGTTCTGTAACAACGACTCTTCAAAGCCAAAATGGGACATTTTGCTGAGGTCGTATCGGATATGTAGTATGAAATAAAAATCGAACGATTGAAGTAGAAGACAAAATTTGCAAGCATTTCTTTTGTAATTTGTCTATTTCAAATACATTTCAAACATATAATTTAATTTTAAATTCAATTATGTTTAGAAATATTTAGTGTATTATTCAAAATTCGAAATTTAAAACATTTTCATTTGAATTTAATGAAAAATATTTCAATTACAGTTGATTTAGTATTTATGTGAATTCAATTTTGGAATTCCTTACAAAATGTCAAATTATAAAATTTTTAATTTCAAATAACAAGTAAAATGTTTAGAATTGTATTGGAAATTATTTGAATTACAAATGCGTCAGGCACTAAACATGATTATATATTAGTGACAACAAAAAAAAAAAAAATGGAAAACATCAATTATTTTTACATTATTTATAACTAATAAATGTTCTCTAAAAAAAGTTTATAATTTAGGATGGAGGGCAATATATTGTGAATAAGTATGCAAATACCCATACATATATTTTTGCATTTATTTATATATCAATAAATATCAATACGAACACAAAGAGTAAATTTTTAATTTATTACCAAGAGAAAATTAAATAAATCAATTTAGAAAAACAAAAACGTGAAAGATGTAAAAATGTTTTCAATAAATGACTGGTCTGTATTCGAATATTTATAGCAAAACAGTATTTACCCCATTGAATTTAGCTAAAAATTTTATTTATTGTTTAGACGTGTTCTCTGACTGCGCACACGAGTATTGTAATGATTTGAAACGATATGCTCAGAACGAAAAGGAAAGAAAGAAAAAAGAAACATATGAAATGAAAACAAAGAAACATGTTTTGCTTTTGTCCATTGCCAAAAGTGTTCAGATAACGAGTACAATAATGAAAATTGTTGTTTTTGTTGTTTGTTTTTTATTTATATAATATTTCTTTAACCTGTGATTTCTTTTATTTTGTCTTAATATATAACAAGGATGTTTTGTTGCATTGTTGTTTTTTTCTTCTTTTTCAAATTTATGAGAGAATGGGTTTTGGGATTACTGCAGTTTATGGTTAGATTTTTGTTCTTCTTTCTTCTTTTAGTACAAATTGTTGTTATTTAAAAAAAAATTAAATATATTTTAATAATGGTAATATTCTTTTTTTGTCAAATTTCTTTATATTGGTTATCATTTCTGTTCTCTGTTTTTGGGGGTTTAATTTAAAAATTTCAGTTATTTTTTTTATTTATTTTTCAATTGTGGTAATATATTTTTACTAGACAATTTGTATTAAGACTCAATTTATTTTATTTAAATTGTGTTTTTTTTTCTGCATTATTTTTATTCATTTATTAACAAATATTGAAAGGGATCTACAGTCAGACAGACAAATCACCAATTAATTATATTGCTTGTGTCATCGTCATTCCCCCCAAAATGCATTGCTCCATGGCCGAGGACAAAAAACAATGTCCACAGCCTTTCCTTTTTAATTAATAATGGAAATTGTGATTTGTAGTAGTACTTGTTGTTGTTGTTCCTGCTGCTGCTGCTGCTGCTGCCGCTGTTGTTCATTGTGGCTTGTTAATTCTTGATGCCATTTAAGTTGTTATTGCTGTTGTGGTTGCAACTTTCTTTCTTTTTGTTTTTGTAATTGTTAACATGTTGTTGTTGCTGCTGCTTTGCTGTCATAGGATATATTGCTAACTGCTGCTGCTGTTGTTCACCTTTCCGATTTGTTGTTTATAATCCTCATTGTTGTTGTTGCTGTTGTCTTTGCATACACTATAATGCTGTTTATCCATTTGTATGTTGTTGTGTTTTCTTTCTCTTTCAGATGAGGTTTGGTTTTTTGGGGGGTTTTTAGGGGATAGGGTTATTGTATATAATTCAAATTATTTTTTTTTTTCATATATATATATATATATATTAGTATATAGATTGTTTGTATATATATAATTATGTATATATTTTTCTGTTCATATATATAGTAAGAGTTGATGTAAATATGTATTTGGTGTAATTGGTTTGGTTTTTTTATTTGTTATAAATTGTTGCAACAATATTTTGTAACAGATGTTGTTGTTATTCTTCTTCATGTTCAATTGGCTGCTCTGGTTTTGCTGTTGCTGCTGCTGTTGTTGTTGTAGCTGCTGCTGGAGCCATGGCCATGTCATTGTTGCTGTTTAACAGAAAATTTAATGTTTTATTTTTATTTGTTGCGGTCGATGCCTCCACTTAATGGTAACCATTTGTAAATGCCGCAGGAATTAGTGGTCCCTGCAAAAACAGAATAATAAAACCATGATTTTTTTAACCACCAACAAAATTAATATATAATTGGGGCATTACGTAGCATTACCACACAGCATCGTTTATCATAGTTATGAACATAAATTGCATGTTTGTAATTTAAATTAACTTTTTGTCGAAGAGGATGGAATTTTTAATGAAAGAGGAGTTATATCTAAGACCACAGGTAAAATGTTGAAATTTGCGTTGCCTCAATCCAAGGGATCCATACGATTTTGTTTTTATAACATTGGCTGAACGATGCCTACTAAATATATTTTGCGGACTAATAATTAAAATGCGAATATTTATCATTAAAAATTGTTTTATTGGCTTTCACATAATTATGTGACATTTTTTATACTTTTTAATACGCTCAGATCTTTGCACTTTTTTGTCGAATCACTTGTACCGCAACCATTGACATAACTTCAAACATAGTTGTGAACACTTCGACAGCTCATAACGAAGGAATGGTTGTTTAAAAACGGCCGACATAGGCTTTGGAATGGTTCATAATAATTCGTCTTCGCTGGTTCGAATAACTCCCAAGATTGGAGGCAACGAATTGAATGGGGTCAGCCGGAAATATCGCCCTACGAACGGTTTGCGACAATCTCTTCACGTCAATTGAAGTACTGCGGTTGTATTTCTGTAAAATTTATTTACACCAATCGATACTATTTTGAACGATTGTCCAATCGAGCGGATTCTAAGGATCCAACATATGATTTTGAACTTATTTGACTCTTTATATATTTTTTATATATATATAATCGCCGTTTTGATATAGCCCCATAAAACAATAGCCCCCTATTATGTAGTCGTCTTTTTTCAGGTATTTTTCGGCATATTAAAGATCCTGCGCATTCTCCTAGAAGCCCCATTAATTTTTCATATTTTGAACTCGTTTAAATATTTATTTCTTCATAAATATAAACTTTTCTTCTTCTATCTATCATTATCATATACAATACATTTTTTCAACTCCGAATAGTTGTTCCCACGGTATAATATGGTGGCTGCAACGTCATTAATGTGTAGTGACTTTAACATGGTGCACTAGGGCCGCTTCCATTGACGTTTTTCAGTTTTAAGCAGCAACTTTTGATTCGTCTTCAAAAACCTTTGTAGCAACGTTAATAACGTTGGTCAGAATTGAAGATATGTGACTATGCAAACAAAATTACTTTAAAAAAATAATTAAAGATTTTTAATGGCCAGCCTCCAGCCAGAATGGGTTATAAACGCCTTTCCCATAATATTTTTTTTTTGTTTGTATCAGTACACATTATAATAGTTTAATGAAATTGGATATGATTATATTTGCAAGCATGTTCGCATTACACTTTATTACACTTTGTGGTATATAGAATATTATGCCATCATTTAATTTTTAATAGTTTTCTATATATATACATATTTTTTATGGCCATACCTATACAAAGAAATTTTGTAACGCTTATAAAACATTTTAGTTTGATATATGTTAACCATTCGATAGAATAACATATTAACGCCATTAAATAATTAAATGATTTACACATACTTATACATGACATAGGTATACGCACACACACAGACACATACACACTTCCTGGCATTTTCAATGTTAAAATATTTGATTGGTTTAATGATAATATGATTTGTTATTATTACACATACTTGAACATAATGGTAGACCATTATTCCCCCACCCCCAAAACACATATGTGCTGTGTAATCGTTCAATCAGGTGGGTAGCAAAGGATTAGAATATTTTTTGTATTATCAGCAGTTGTTTAACGCTAACAGTCATGAACGAAATATTTTAGTAGGAAATATATATTTTTTTAATAAATATGTAATGTGGTAACAGTTCATTAGTTTTTGTGTATTCTCAATTCGAAAAGCTATTCTTCATTTTGCAAGTATAAAACAGCAAATATATTCCTAATATGTGTTATATTTATTATGCACAATTTAATATTTGAACTTTTTCATGAAAAAATGCATTGCCAAATATTGAAATTGAATTATGACCCACATTACGTTCCAAATAATCCTAACAAAATGTCCTTGTTATTGTCATTGACAGTGTAATTGTTCTATTAAATATATGCAATTTGTGGTTAAGTGCAGAAAAAAAAATACCACCTAGAATTGCAATTGGAATGGGTGCTGATAATTTCATATTGTTTTTGTTGTATTGAATTGAACAATTTAATTGAATTATAAAGTGATTGCATGGCTTTATAATATATGGCTTTTATCAAAAATTATATTAATTTGCATACATTGAGACTATCAAAACATGTTTCGAGTAATGTTCGATATAAATTGTTTTTTTTTAATTTCTCTTTTTTTTTGCTGTTTGTTGCCATTTGTGTTTGCTAACAAACTGTGGTTCTGTGATTTGCTCAAAAATCCATTAAATAGCAGAGGCTTTGCCAAATGAGAGCAGCTACCCGGCTGCAAGCGAACGAACATTAAAAACACGCATAATGTATAATTTTATGCTAATAATGAGATAAGGGATTTGCATAAAATACATTACAAATATTAGAAAAAATAATATTATTGAATTGAGCAGAAAAAACTTCAACTTAAATATGATTTAATATTTAGGGAAATGTTGTATACAAAAATAAATTGTAATGCTTCAATAATATTTGGATTTAACAAATGTTATTATAAAAAATTGTGATATCTTTGTTGGACTTCGGTCCTTAATATCACCTAGAGAGCGACACCTGATGACTGCGACCGCCTCCTAGAATAAAATACTACTTCAGATGATCTTTTTTAAATAATTATCATATAAATGGACTACCTAAAAATGTCTTTTATGAATTTTCAAACCCGATTTTGCTTTAATTTGGAATATAAAATTTAACAGATCTCTTTACAGAAATGTGTCGATATATGCCCATTTTGTTGATATAGGCCCACATTTTGGTTACCTCTTATTACACGTTAAAGCTAAATTTGTTGTTATTTGGTGGAGAGCATAAACCCCATTAAAATAATCATGTTTTTACATCTATTTTTCATTTTGTTACTGCTTAATCATAGAGCAGATTCGTTCTTTTATGAGTCTGGTGAATACTGTTTTGTTTCTTGTTGCAAAAAACTGGTCAATTGAAATGTCCCCTGTCAGAAAAATGCAATTTGGATTTTGGCTTCTATGTAATAACCATTAATCAATAATTTGGAAACAGGAATTCCCCTGTGGACTGTGCCATATTATGTGAAATGTTATCTCGATGATGTTTTGGGGTTTTCTTTTCCAATCTAAAAATTATATCCACAAAGGTGGAGCCATGGTTTTAAAAAATAATATTTACACAGTTTTACCTAAAGAACAGTCCTGGAAAAGATTTGGCAAATTGTGGACGTCCCGATTTTCATCATCTGTTAGATGCTGTGTGTAAAAATGTACTAAATATAAAAGTACTAAATATGTCCCTCCAAACTTTCAAATACAAATTTCAACAACTTTTTGAAGATATAAACGAATTATGGCGAAAGCTCTATGGGACAGAAAAATCACTTATAAAAAGGTTTACTGCGTTTTTATTTGTTTTTACGACTGGAGGACACGATAACCCCGAAAATATTAATCTAATCAAATAAAATATACTAAAATGTTTCCATTTGAATATATCTCTCCCCCGAATTGATTAAAAAATTAAAATTGACATTGCGTAACTCGTATGGGATATGGAGCGTTTTTTGTTCGTTTGAGGGAATAACAATTATTGCCACTAACCGTTAAATCTCAAAGTCCCACTTCTATTAGTAACGAATAATAGAAAAAGAACGTTATACACATTTGCATGCATGCGTGTGCCCCTGTGTGTGTGCGTGGTTGCATATGTATGTATGTGTGTATATATGCATATTGTTTGAATACCTCAGAGATCTGTCGGGCGTATAATTCATATTATCTATTCTCGAATATTGCGTATACGCCACCAGGGGACATTGCTTTTTTAGTTCATAAGATATATGTATGTACATACAAACAAATTGTTTTGAATTTCTATCAGATTTGTTTATAAATATCTCATTGAAATGAAATATATATTTTAATAATATTACATTTCTGTGGAGTTTCAATTTTTTTATTTAATCGATTTATGCCATTTATGAAATATACACTTTTGGTCCTCAATTTGGGATTATCATAAAATTGATTTATTTATTTTTTTATATATTATAATAAACAGATACAATAGTTATACAGGTGCTAATATGCAATGTGTGCGTGTGCATGATTAATAAAAAACGTAAAAGAAAAAAAAAATAGATTGATAGTTTTACGATGTCCTACCTTGTGCAACTGCTTTAGGATTTCAGTCTTATATATTAGCCATCGCAAAGTTCAACGAATAGATCTAAACGAGTAAACGAGAAACGGGAGAAAGAGAGAAAAATACAAATAAACAGAATTATAATTTTCTCAAGATTGACAACTACGTTTTCAAGTAGACTGCAGACAAGATAAATTGAAGGTAGACAAAAAACCAAATGTAAGGATAACCAAAGAGTGGGGAGAGGGAGGACAGACATTTTGAAGACAATACTAAAAACAAGGAATTAATTTCAAAAACAAGAAGAAAAGAGTGCATTAATTTGAAAGTCCAAATCAGGTTTCAATGAATGAAAAAAGAAACCAAAACTTTTTACTGGGAACCGTTAACCGATTTCATTTTTCAATGTTTTTTTCCTTTACGTTTTGCTATTGTTGTTGTATAAATTGACATTGGAGATGACTAATAATAAGATTCCAATTAAAGGTAGTTTATAAACCAAAACAAAACAAACGAAAAAAACCCTGTTGTTTTTCTGTTCCTATTTTTGTTGTTGCTGTTGTTTTTGTTGTTCACAATAAAAGTGCAAAACAATAGAGTGTTGTGAAGTAATTGTGATTGGCTGAATGAGTTTCAAAGCAAAGCAGCACGGAATACAAATAGTCAATGCTATCGGCTACTTACCGGACTATAGTTGAGGGGAGCTCGACTCACGGCTATGGGGAACCCTGATGGCTGGGGACTGGTGGCCTGTACATAGCCAACATTATCGGCGGCCGTTGAACTGTACATATCAATGGCGGGCACCGGAGAATTGGTGGAGGGAAACCCCTGTCGTGTTGTAGTTGTGTGTGGCGATGCCGAGGGGGCGGCAAAACTATGAGCAGCTGCAGCAGCGGCCTGATAATTGTTCATTACTAAAGAGAAAAAAGAAAAAACATCGAAAAGAATTATTGCAACAATAAAAAACGAGAAAGGTATTAAGTAAATGAGGTATATAATTGATTGCCAAATTGTGAAACAAAAAACAAATGGCAAAATGTTTATATTTTAGCTTACAATACGGAGGTAGAAGAAAAATACATAACTCTTGAAATATTGAATTTCGTAAATGCAAAGATAAACCAATGAGCGGACGGGACCGACTATATGATACCTTACACAATTACAATTGAACTTTCTGGGGATCCATGTTCCGAGGCTGGTTAATATTTCACGGTACTTGCACCCCCTAGAGTCATAATGACAATTCAGAACACTACTAAAATATGTAGACCCATTAATATATTTCAGTATTTCTACCATATCCGACCTCTTCCATCAATAGAATTGATTTTAGATTAAGGATTAACATCTCCCTATTTCAAAGACTAATTCTTTTTCGCATCATGTTTGTTAAGTTATTATACTCTCTCATTGACTCTTTTGACACCACCGTCCTTTTAACTTTTTTTTTTTAATGTACATATCGGATCAAAAAAACGTCGTTCCGTCTTGGGGTAATATGGGTTTTGGGTTTTTAAAACTTTGAGATCCGTACCGTAAAACTTTTTTTATTATCCACAATTTCAGAATTTCTTCTCAAATTTTAAGTAACAAAAGACCACGATAATGTTTTTATTTGTTGTTGTTGCTGAAAAAATAAATTCTATTTACATTGGTTTTCAATTTTCGCCCCCAGCTCATTAACATATTTTCCCATTTTGCCATTTATTTGTTTTGTTCTTAACTTTCTACCACTTACCCGATAAAGCTTGAGTAAGTAACGGTGTGTTATTGTTTGGCGTTAGCTGGCCATTACTCAAATCCACTAAAATTGATTAAACGTCCGGCCATGGAGAATGGACAGCGACAGAACAGAAAGGCAGCGAGGAAAAAGTGCGAGTAAAAATGGGAGGAGAAAATAGAAAAACAAAATTCATATATTAAAATTTAATATATAACAGATAAACATCTTGATTTACAGTTAGTTAAATATAAAATGACACTAAATTCATTAAAAACAGAAGGAGAAGAATAGGTAAAAGTAGAAAAGAGAATGAATCAAACTCGAACTATTAATCAAAGACTTTTCTAATTGAATAATATTGGCTCATACAGACACGCGTTTGAAGTTGTTGGTACTATGGCAGACATTCACACGAGCACAAACACACACACACACACGCGTGCCATAACATACACATACACTGATAGCATTCAAACGCTTTGCTTACTAAACGGACAAACAACTGCATTCAAAGCTATAAGGGAAAAAAGTAAAGAAAACAAAAAAGATGAACGAGAGAGCATACGAGTTAACTACAATGCCATACCAATGAGAATTAGAGTCAAATGTGTGTGTGTCAGTGTGTATGTGTGAGCAGTGTGGGTGTGACTTATAAATGAAAAAACTGAGGATGGGGGTCCACGAGAACTACTGCTTTTCGGATAACGGATAATTGTAATTAATGTAGTTCCTTCTTGTTGTCGCTGGTCACTATTAGTTTTACTTTGAGTTGTTATCTCTCATTTTCGGCAGCAACAACAACAATTTAATGCATCACAAAAAAGAGAGCAACAAAATGTCCAAAGAATAAAATAGCACTAGGTGATTGATTATGGAAAACCAAATTGGACAGGGAAAACAAAAAAAGATAATAAAAATGAAGAATCAAGGTTTCCTTTTTGTTGATTTTATTTTAAAATAAAATTAAATTTCCTACACACCACCCCCCTCCCATTTATGGGGCAAATCCCATGTAATTAATAATTCCATTTTTTTGTTTACTTTACAAAATGTATTTGGGTAATTCAAAAACAATTATTTGATATCATTATTTTGCAGGAAATTGAAATCAAATTGAATAATGAAATTGTACGAAAATAAATGGTAGCAGTGACAGTCTGAGGAGAAAAATAAAAGGAAATGTGGAAGATTAATGTTTTATTTTTAATATATAAAACAAATATATATTAAAAAAAATCTTGAAAATCTTAAATTTATTGAAACATAAATATAAGTTTCAAATTATCTACTAACATAAAACCAGAAATATAGGTATGCTTTAGTGTCTTGTTATAAGAATTCTTCCAAAAATATATTCACAGTTGTGTCGGGATATCAGAGAACTCCTAGATACTCTAAAAGGTGAAAACCTTGAAAAAGCGGCTCTAAAGTAAATTCATAAGCGAATTCCTGAACATCTATTCACATCTTTTTAATTAACTGAATTGCAATTTGGAAACTGAGCACAGGATTACAAAACTTAGTTCACTATACCCAAATGCGACTGTATTACAAAAATATTGAAATCAAAGGTAGACTACACATGACATTGGCTTTTCTCAATTTCCTTCACTGGAATGACGAAAACAACAGAGAGGCAGAGTAAGGTGTGGATCACTGAAACAAGTTTCCTAGAAATACTGTTTTTTTTTGTTATGTTTTGACACCTATGGCGCCATGCAACTCTACTTGTCTACGACCTTTGAGATGTTCAATTTCTTAGTTGCTGATTGTTTTGTGATAAATTAAAATCGTCGAAGAAAATTAAATTTTTGTTATGTTCTTGTCGACAAAAATTGATTGAAAATGTTCTATTTAATTTGTTTCATATCACAATGATAATTTGATAATGGATAATAAATAGAATGTTAATTGATAGATGGATTGATATTTGAAAAAAAATATTGATTTAGTAAATTTGTTATTTTGGATTCAAAGTAGGAAATATTAATTGCTTCAATTTGAAGGGGAGAAAAAGGCAGAGAGAAAATGGGAATGATTTGCTTTTGGAAATGTTGAACTTTTGATAACCATAGGTTAGGCACATTGGTTAGAAGGCAACTTTACGGAAATGTTGGATAGATAATCTCGAAAATTAGCGAAAACCCCAATTTTTTAAAACAAATTTTCATTTCAAGCTGTGTGTCTGTGACCTTCATAATAATTGTTATGGATCTATACCTCTGCATAAATCATGTTCATTTTATATGAAGCTGATATAAGTTTGTTGTCATTTTTCATACAACATGTCTGCATTTTGCTATCACATATTGAATATATTACAACATATTCGGTTCTTCTCTAAACAAGGGCTTTTCAGCTTTCCAATATTAGCCTCTCGACCCTTAAGTCGTCTCTTAGTTTTGCAATAACTTCTTGCATATTGTTAAAGAACATTCTTTAAATATTATATCGAATGTGTTTATAAAAAAATATTTTCTTTTACTTTAAAAAGAAAACAAACTTGGAATTTTATGTTGTGATTATCAACTTGAATAGGTTTTTGTGTGATATGAACGAGACAAAGAATAACAATGGTAATAATTGTAATATTTTTCTAAATTCTTTATATTGAAAGGAATTCGATAGTATCTCTTCACATATCGTATTTTTTCTAGTGTGGAATGATGAATGCCTCATGTTCGAATGAAGAATTCATGATTTAGAATTTGTGCAAGCACAATATGGCAAATATTTAACTACATATGGATACACGTAATGTAAAAAATTGAATTGTTGGATTACATAAACCAGGGGAAACATATCACATTTCAATGAGTGACACAAAAACCCAATTGGGTCTAAAGAGTCAAACGTAAAAAAAAACAATATTTTTAGAAATTGCATTAAACGAAATGAACACAATACAAATACAAAACTAGCAAAATTATATATTTATTCACAAAACAATTAGGTGTGGTAACTTTGTTTTATAAATATTTAAATAAATTAAAAAACAGGAAAAAATTAATTCTATAACATTGTGATTTGTTGCACTATGTATGGAATGGTTTTTTTAACCTATATGTTTTGATGATAAAAAATAACGATGTCAAGTATGAAACCATTAAAATTTATGTTACGTATATATGTGTGAGTGTGTGTGCGTGTACTCTACTATCTGTGTGTGATTATTAAAGAAATTAACACAATTTACATACATTTATTACAAAATTTATTTGTGTTTGTTTCTTTTTTTCGTATTTGTTTTGCATTGCAACTTCTAAATGAATTTTATATTAGATTTTTGTGGCGGTGTTTTTTCTATTTTTGTTGTTGTTGGTTCTACATTAAGTTTAATATAAAAAGTTGTATACGTACATATACTTTTTTCTATGGTAATAAATAATTCGATTATATATTTTTGACAATACCACAATAGAAGAGTACAAAAAATATTACAACAATAATAAAATTACTAACATTTTTGCTATTGTTTTTTTCTCAATATTTTTGTTTCATATTTATGTACTGTTTGTCCTAATCTAGGGATTTTGTTTTTTTTTCCTTTTTTCTAAAGGCAACATGACAACATTAAATTTATGACAATTTGTTTGCCAACTGTTTTTTGTTGTTGTTATTGTTGGTGTTTTTTTTTTTTTTAATTTAAACTAAAACAAAAGTTTTGCTGAATTGCCATAATAAATTGAGTTTTTGTATTTATGTGGATTTGACATATTGATGCTTTAAGGTAAATATCTTATGGCGTTTATTTTATTTTATGTTGTGTCAACAGATTGCTGGGGTTTTCTTTTTTTCCAGCTTAGGCATGAATTAAATAATTGACTTAAGTAATCGGTATAAAAACAATAACAACAAATTCTAATTGAACAAATATATTTATTTAGTTCCAGAAAATAGTTCAAAAAATTTAGAACATTTTTAAATACAAAATAATGCCTGGGTTTCTGGATTTGTGAAATTAAAATATATCAAATTTTATATTATTTTTCATTACATGAGCATAATGAAATATTGAATTTAATGCACTCTACGTCAAAATCGTCAACAAACCCCCTTTTACTTACGCAGAAAAAATAGATTGGGAAAAAAGAAATCCATTAGGTCGGTCGTCGAAAATGTCGATAAAATCGGAGAAATTATCGATCTTGACCGGCATGTTTGCAGTCGTAACATACCCAGGAGCTAAAATAGCTACCATAAAACTGTTTTAAACCATTTAGCTGGGTTCAAAAAGAAGCACGATGTTTGGGTGCCACACCATTTAACAGAAAAAATAGGATGGATCGAATTTCCATTTGCAAAGAAATGATCGAGATGAGGAATTGATTACATACGATAACCCTTTGCAAAAACGATCGTGGTCAAAGAGCGATGAAGCACCTCAAACCAGGACTAAAGGCCAGGAAAGTTTCGCCATGCATTTGTTGGGACTGGAAGGGGATTATTTATTATGAGTTTCTTCCAAACGCTAAATTTTGATCTTTACTGTAAACTGGACCCTTTAAAGATAGCAATTGACTAGAAACGGCCACCAGGACAACGCTAGGCCGCACACATCTACAGTGACTGGCCAGAAACTTCGGGAGCTTAGGTGGAAAGTTTTAATGCATCCGCCATACAGCCCGGACTTGGCATCATCTTTTTCTTACATTGCAACATGTCTTTAATAATACAAAATTGCCATCTAGAGAAAATCGACTACTAGAGTTTTTGCAAATAGAGAGCAGAACTTCTATGAGAGTCCTGTCTATGAAGTTACCTTTAAATGGCAAAAAATCATACCACAAAACGGTGAATATTTGGACCAAATCGGACATTCAGAAGCATGTTAAATGAAGTCCTATAGCTCATATAAAAATAATGGATTTCTTTTTCTACAACCTAATATGACTTTAAGCATAAAGGATTAGCTTCAGTCCTAAGTGCATGAAATTATTATCTGACGAATTCAGAATTCGAATTTTTCAGAATAATAGCTTTGAAAAAAAATGGACTTAATATAATACGTTTACTCTTTGGTCATGTCCTCATTGATTAATTGTTGTGAGGCACATTTAAATTAATTTCAATAAAGAAGT